GCTCTATGACTGGCGGGGGGGGGGGGATGGGGGGTTGGGGAGAGGAGGGAGGAGAGAAGAGTGAGGCGAAGAGGTGGAACGAGAATTCCAACAAGGAGCAAGAGTGAGGCGAAGAGGTGGAACGAGAATTCCAACAAGGAGCAAGAGTGAGGCGAAGAGGTGGAACGAGAATTCCAACAAGGAGCAAGAGTGAGGCGAAGAGGTGGAACGAGAATTCCAACAAGGAGCAAGAGTGAGGCGAAGAGGTGGAACGAGAATTCCAACAAGGAACAAGAGTGAGGCGAAGAGGTGGAACGAGAATTCCAACAAGGAACAAGAGCAGACATGTTACAACACCATGTTACGGCACAGATCCCCCCACATATACCAGCACTGGCAATAGGGTGCCGCATCATCTCCACCACGTGGCCCCTCAGCTGGTTGTTGTGGTGCTGGCACATACAGCATCAACTTTCCGTTCCCCCCCCACACCCCCCCCACCCTCCCAACACATACTGGCACTGGCGACAGGATGTCGCATCATCTCCTCTCCACCACATGGCCTCTCAGCTGCCCGCTATGGTGGTGACAGCACCCAAGGTCCTTCCTGAACCATCAGCCATAGAAGCTTTGTTTAGGCGAGCTGCAGTCTGGTAGAAATCTTCCAGGTTTTGAGACGTCTCAAAACTAGCTGCAGTCTGGTAGAAATCTTCCAGGTTTTGAGACGTCTCAAAACTAGCTGCAGTCTGGTAGAAATCTTCCAGGTTTTGAGACTAGCTGCAGTCTGGTAGAAATCTTCCAGGTTTTGAGACGTCTCAAAACTAGCTGCAGTCTGGTAGAAATCTTCCAGGTTTTGAGACGTCTCAAAACTAGCTGCAGTCTGGTAGAAATCTTCCAGGTTTTGAGACTAGCTGCAGTCTGGTAGAAATCTTCCAGGTTTTGAGACGCCAGCAGTCTGCAGTCTCAAAACTAGGCCCTTCCTGAACCAGTGCCAGCACCATGTAAGGCGCATATAGCATCATCTCTCCCCTTACACCTCACACCCCCCTCCCATTCCCCCAACATACCAGCACTGGCGACAGGGTGGCGCATCATCTCCACCACATGGCCCCTCAACTGGCCAACGATATCATGCTTCTTCTCCTTGCTCGCTGCGCCCATGGGGGGGAAAAGAGGACAGAACGAATAGGAAGAGGAGACAGAAAGAATGACAAGGCAGGTTTCAGTATCGAGAATTCTCGCAAGTCATCTCCACGTCAAGAGGAGACAGAAAGAATGACGCCTCTCAGCTGCCCCACTACGTCATGCTTCTTCTCCTTGCTCGCTGCCAGACGGGCAGGGGAGAACGAGAGAAAAGAAGGGAACAGGAGAGGAGACGGAAAGAACGGCAAGGCTGGTATCATTCTTAAGAATTCTCTCAGGTCATCTCCACTGGCGACAGGGTGGCGCGTCACACACACACACCCACTCACCATGGTCCATCATCCTATTGACCAGGTGGTGGGCGTAGGGATGCACCGCCAGCTCGCGGCAGTGCAGGCGTAATCAACACCCCCTCCCAACACACACCAACCACCCACCCCACCCCACACTCACCGTGGTCCATCATCCTGTTGACCAGGTGGTGAGCGTAGGGATGCACCGCCAGCTCACAACAGAGCGTTGGACTAGTGAGTGAGTGGACTGAACAGGAAACCAACACACTCACTCACCATGATCCATCATGCGGTTGACCAGGTGGTGGGCGTAGGGATGCACCGCCAGCTCGCGGCAGTGCGGGCGCAGTTCCGAGAAGACGGCCTCCCGCTCCTCCTTGCGGCCGTGCTTGACACACATCTGCAGCACGCGTGACACGGTGTGTGAGCGTGCCATCTCCACCATCTTCCCCTTCATCTTCCCAGTCATCATTGTTACCAGCCTGTCAAAAAAAGAGAAGACGGTGGAGGCGGATAGAAGGGGGGAAACAAGAGGACAGGGAATGAGCAGAGCAGCACTCAGCACTCACGCATTCACACTGCATCCTGCTTCTTAGCACTGACCACTCACTTGCGCTTCTTCTCCATGTCGATGTTCCTCTGCCGACTCTTCTCCCACAGCAGCGTCAACTCCTGATACAGTCACACACATACATACAGTCACACACATACATACAGTCACACACATACATACAGTCACACACATACATACAGTCACACACATACATACAGTCACACACATACATACAGTCACACACATACATACAGTCACACACATACATACAGTCACACACATACATACAGTCACACACATACATACAGTCACACACATACATACAGTCACACACATACATACAGTCACACACATACATACAGTCACACACATACATACAGTCACACACATACATACAGTCACACACATACATACAGTCACACACATACATACAGTCACACACATACATACAGTCACACACATACATACAGTCACACACATACATACAGTCACACACATACATACAGTCACACACATACATCCAGTCACAAACATGCACCGTCACACAGATGTTCAACCACCCACGCATTCACTCACACATGCACACATAGCAGTATCCAGCACAAACCAAATGGGACCACATACACACACACACACACATGGGAGGGCAAGTTCAGGCTATGGCCTTTCACGGCATGGCATCGGGTGCCATGGCGTGTGGCAGGACGTGGCAGGGCGTGGCATGGCGTGGCTTGGCGTGGCTTGTACAGGCATAGTTCCCCTATCGCCCCATCCAAAAAATGTTCCCTCCCCGAGCCTCTCTCTTCATCGCAACCAACCTCACACCTGCGCTGCGCTGATGCAACCAGCCCGTTTGCTCCAAACTCTTGAGGCGCCTAAACAACCTGCGCTGTGCTCATGCACCCAGGCTGTTTGCTCCAAACCCGCCTCTCCCTACATTTGGCACATGCTAGAACCCTAAATGTCTGAACGCGCCTTTTCCAAATCCACGGGTTTAAGGTTTAGAGGCGGATCTAAACCCTGGCGCGCTAATCCCTCGCTGCGCCCACCTTCTCGAGATCAAAGAGCGGGCGGCGGCGCTTCTTCCGCGCCTCCGCCAACTCCTGCGCAGAGGGAAGAAGGGATGGGGGGGAAGGGGGGCGGAGGGATGAGAAGCGGAAGGGGAGAGGGGGAGGAGGGGTGAGAGGTCGAAGGAGGGAGAGAGCGGGAGGAGGGGGGACCAGAGGAGGAGAAAATGAAAGTCAAGGCGGGACGGTCGGGGGGGAGCGTGAGAGTGATACGAGGGGAGGAGGTGCGAGAGGGATGGAAGGAGCAGGCGCGCGAGCGTTCAGCGGGTAGAAGAGGGTTACGGGAGGGGAGGGTTTTAACGCGGGACGGGGTTTAACGGAAGGACTAAGGGCTTCGAAGCCGACTCGACGAACACACGGTTCAAGTTAAATGCCGTGAATACCCATACACGTACCTTCCTCTGCTTCCTATCCATCGGTCCGCTGGGAGCGCTCTCCCCCCTTCCACCCCCTCGCCCCTGTCCGCCGCCCCGACCCCCGCCCCGTCCCCCGTCCCTCCCGCGCCCGCCTCCTCTCCCCCACCCCCGCCCTCCCGCGCCTCCCCTTCCGCCCTCGCCAGAACCTCCGCCTGCGCCTTCAAACTTGCGCTTTCTCGAATCGCCCGGACTGGCGGCTCCCCCGCGCCCAATCGCTCCTCCAGCTGCGCCCTGCTGTCTTCCCCAATCCCCCCTTCCTCCGCCTCTTCCCCCTCTTTCATCGCCTCTTCCGCGTCTGCCTCCCCAGCCTCCCCCTCGTCTTCCCCCCACTCCATCCGATCCTCGCCCAGCCCCGCCCCCCGAACCTGAACCTCCCCAACCTCCCTTATACCCTGAACCTTGAGAATCCCTTGAACCTCCAAATGATCCGCTAAACCCTCGGCCGCCTCGCCCGCCACTTCCGCCTCGCCCGCCACTTCCGCCTCGCCCGCCACTTCCGCCTCTTCCGCCACTTCCACCTCTTCCGCCTCTCCCGCGGCCTCCGCCACGAGGGTTCCCCCCCCAACTATCTGCCATGTGTCTAGGTGCTTCCGTAGTTCAGTTCAAATGAGAAGTATTTGGAGCACTGTTGTGGAAATTGGTTGGGATATTGAGGAGACTGGCTCTTGTTCAAGGATCAGGTGCGAAAATGCGAGTTGCTAGCTGTGAGGGGTATAACATTTCTCGGAGTGTAGGTCATGCAGATATACTTTGTTAGTGTACGGTGCCATACAGTGTTATACTGTCACAGACCGAACTCTCGTTACTGTGTCTGAATGCGCTCTGATTGGTCTGCTGACAGCACAATCCCGAAATCTACCATCGCAGTCTCCCCAATTCGTCGACTTTCCCACCACGTCAAACAAACCGAGCCTTCCATGCATGATTTCGCTGGTTCTCGCCGTTTATTGGCTGATCTTCCTAAACATTTCGAAACATTTCCTCGCTGACAGGCATCCATTACGCATCGCAGCCGTTCGTAAAGAATCGGAGGGCGTGCATCTACCCATGTCAGCTTCCTCACAATTTCGCTTCCGCTAATGTCGCGAACATCCCTGCGACTCGCGCCAAACCGCAATTTCGTCACAAACCACCACAGTTTTCACTCACCTCCTCACCTCACCTGCCACCGAAGGAAAAAGCCGTTGAGGGAAGAAGCACCATAAATCAACAAAATATAACACGCAAAACCGTATCGGAACGCACAAAAACTTCTACAAAACTAGAAACCAGTAGCAGCAACTTCGCCACAGGCCATCTCACGCAGGAGCTTTATATGAAAGGTGTCACAGCCAAATTTACTCGGCAAATCGTATAAATCGTACACAGGACCGCAGCTGAACTATTTCCCGCCGTAGCGATAGTAGCTGACTACGCGTAACAACCCAACAAACAGCCTCGCTATCTCCATAATTATAAGAGATTTTCGTCTTGTGTTTTCAAGCTTCGCTCTAGAATCCTCTCCAGGAGCAGACTACAAGTAACAATTACTCCAAGGTCATTCCCGGCTATGGCCACGGCACTCGTACCATCAACACCTGCGACGCCTTCGCCAACGTCCTTCGCCGACCTATCAGAAGACGTGCTTCTACACCTGCTTTCCCGTCCATCCTCCAACCCGAACCGCGAGCTTTCCCCGGAAGACCTCGCGCGGCTCGAGGCGGTCTGTTACGCCCTCCGCCGCCCGCTCCTGCTCCCCCCGAACCGCCGTCACTCCGTCGTAGAAACCGCTGCGCGCACGCGATGCTTGCGCCACCCGCTGCTGGCGCGCGTGCCGGCAGACCTCCTGCGCGGAATGGCGGCGCAGCGGCGGGAGCTGGCTGCGCGTGCTGCGCTTCGCATGGGCGGTGGAGGACGCCTGGGGGCTGCGGCGGGAAGTGGAGAAGGAGGCGCAACGGCGGGAGGCGGAAGAAGAGGCGCTGCGGCGGGAGGCCAGCGCGCGGAACGCCGGCGGACTGGCGTCAGCGGTATACGCGGGCGATTATTGTTCATTCCAGATAAAGTCAAACGGCGAGCTATGGGTGTATGGTTCAGGCTCGCGCGACGGCTCTCCGCAGTTCACCCTTCCGCCAGCCTTAAATCAACCTCCCCCAGATCAGCCCGCCCCGGTAGCTGCCGCGGATCAACCTCCCCCGGATGAACCTGCCCAGGCGAGAGACGGGAACCAGGCGGCAGGCCAAGGGTGGGCGGCTGCCGCCCTTGCTGCTGGCCTGGCGGCGGTCCGACTTGGCGGCGGTGCCGCAGCTGCAGGCTCGGCAGCAACTGGTTCGGCAGTGACGGGCGCGGAGAGGCCCGACGCTCAAGCGCAGCAGCAGGTGCAGCAGCGGCGGGGAGGGACGCGGGGGCGGAGGGGAGCCCTGAGAACGCAAATCGTGGTGGGGGGAAGCGCGGACGCGGAGGGGAATGGGGGGAACGGATGGAATGGGGGGAATGCGGCGAATAGGGAGGAAACTGAGGGCGGCATGGGGGAGAGGGTGGCGCAAGTGGCGGGAGGGAGGGCCTTCACTGTGATACTAACGAAGTCCGGGGACGTTTACACAATGGGGCAGGACACTAACGGGTGCTGTGGGCACGGGCAGGACGGGGTGGGGAAGAAATTCCCTCAGCCGAAATTTGTGGAGGCTTTAAGAGGCGTGCCATGTCAGCAGGTCGCGACAGGGAGGAGCCATGTTCTCGTGCTAGCTAGGGATGGGACTGTGTATGCGTTCGGAGCGGGCGGCAACGGCCGGCTGGGTCTGGGAGATACGGACGACAGATGTCAGCCGACGGTCGTGGAGGGGCTGCGACCAGAGGTGCTGGCTGCCATGCTGGGCGGATTGACGGGCGGCAGCAATGGCGATACGGATGGCAACAACAGCGATACGGGCGGCAAGAACAACGAGACGGGTAGCAGCAGCAGTAACAGCAGCGCCAGCAGCAGAAGCAGCAGAAGCAGCAGCAGCAGTGATCCGTACGGACAGTACCGCATAGTGAGTGTAGCAGCGGGCGCGAGTCACTCCCTGGCCGTCACTGCTGCCGGTGTGGTCCTGGCGTTTGGGCGCGGGCACAGCGGCCAGCTGGGGGGCGCGCAGGGCTGGGGGACCTGGGCGGGGAGCGTGCAGGCGTGGGGGAGCTGGGGGGCGGAGGGCTGGGGGGCGGCTGGCTGGGGGGTTGAGAAGGAGGAAGGGATGAGAGGAGGCGGAGGGCGGGTGGGGCAAGTGCAGGGACGAGCTGGGGGTGTTTCCAGGGTGCATGTGGGCAGGCGTGCTGGTCCTGCTGCTGCTACAGCCGGCAGTGCTACAGCCAGTGCTGCCGCTACCAGCCGCGCTACATCCACAAGTGTTGCTGGTGGTGCAGCTACAGCTACAGCGGCGGTGACGGCTGCTACAGCCGACCTGTCTGACTGCCTAGTGCCGCAACCCATAGCGTGGCTGGTGCGGGCGGGCGTGTGTGTGGTGAAGGTGGCAGCTTCGGTTGACTACTCTGCTGCTCTTGACTGCCTGGGACGGGTGAGTGAAACATAAGGTGTGAAAAGGTGTTAGAAGGTCTTAGGAGGTGTGTTCTGCTGCTCCTGACTGCCTGGTGCCGCACCCCATAGATGGCTGGTGCAATCAGGCGTGCGTGTGGTGAAGGTGGCAGCTTCGGTTGACTACTCTGCTGCTCTTGACTGCCTGGGACGGGTGAGTGAAATATAAGGTGTGAAAAGGTGTTAGAAGGTCTTAGGAGGTGTGTTCTGCTGCTCCTGACTGCCTGGTGCCGCACCCCATAGCATGGCTGGTGCAATCAAGCGTGTGTGTGGTGAAGGTGGCAGCTTCGGTTGACTACTCTGCTGCTCTTGACTGCCTGGGACGGGTGAGTGAAATATAAGGTGTGAAAAGGTGTTAGAAGGTCTTAGGAGATGTGCTCTGCTGCTCCTGACTGCCTGGTGCCGCACCCCATAGCATGGCTGGTGCAATCAAGCGTGTGTGTGGTGAAGGTGGCAGCTTCGGTTGACTACTCTGCTGCTCTTGACTGCCTGGGACGGGTGAGTGAAATATAAGGTGTGAAAAGGTGTTAGAAGGTCTTAGGAGGTGTGTTCTGCTGCTCCTGACTGCCTGGTGCCGCACCCCATAGCATGGCTGGTGCAATCAAGCGTGTGTGTGGTGAAGGTGGCAGCTTCGGTTGACTACTCTGCTGCTCTTGACTGCCTGGGACGGGTGAGTGAAATATAAGGTGTGAAAAGGTGTTAGAAGGTCTTAGGAGATGTGTTCTGCTGCTCCTGACTGCCTGGTGCCGCACCCCATAGCATGGCTGGTGCAATCAAGCGTGTGTGTGGTGAAGGTGGCAGCTTCGGTTGACTACTCTGCTGCTCTTGACTGCCTGGGACGGGTGAGTGAAATATAAGGTGTGAAAAGGTGTTAGAAGGTCTTAGGAGGTGTGTTCTGCTGCTCCTGACTGCCTGGTGCCGCACCCCATAGCATGGCTGGTGCAATCAAGCGTGTGTGTGGTGAAGGTGGCAGCTTCGGTTGACTACTCTGCTGCTCTTGACTGCCTGGGGAGGGTGAGTGCAGGGATGAGGCGTGGAGAGGTGATAGGTGTTAGGAGGTGTGAAAAGGAGTTTAATGGTGTACTTCAATGCTCTGGACTGCCTGGTACCGCACCCCATAGCGTGGCTGTGCGATCAGGCGTGGGTGTGGTGAAGGTGGCTAAGTCCATTCGCTGCTTGCCTTCCCTTTTGTCTGCATGTGTGCAGGTGCACATGTGGGGGTCGGGCTACTGTGGATGCTTGGGCAACGGCAGCGAGGCCAATGAGGTGCTGCCACGTGTCGTTGAGGGATTGCTGCACACACGAATAGTGCAGGTATGACTGATCCAATTGGCTGATCCCAGTAGCTGATCCAATTGGCCGATCACGAGTCGTCTGCATTTGGCGTTTGCATCAACTATAAATAAAATTGTTTTCATGTATGATTCTAAGTGTAATTGCAAATATTCTCACATGTTTGCACTCCTTTCAACCAGGTGACTCTGGGAAAGCGCAAAACACTAGCTCTGGACGACCAAGGGCGGGTGCTGGCGTTTGGGTGGACGGCGTTTGGAGGGCTGGGAGTGGCGGCAGGGCGAGACAAGGTGTTTTCTCCCATGCCGGTCGAGGCTCTGGAGGGGAGGCGAGTGGTGCAGGTGAGCAAGGGGGCTGGTTTGGTAGGATGGTCTGATAGGTGGATAACTCTTTGGAAGTGCCTCACAGGCATGGATGGGAAGCGAGTGGTGCAGGTGAGCAAGGGGGCTGGTTGGGGCAGATGGGCGGATGGGCGGATGGCACTTTGGAAGTGCCTCAGAGGCGTGGCAGCAGAGCGATACAAGGTGTTTGCTCTTAGTACAGGGCGAGCCAGTGGAGGCTCTGGAGGGGACGCGAGTGGTGCTGGTTGATGCTGGTTGATGCTGGTTGATGCTGGTTGATGCTGGTTGCTGCAAATCAGTCTCACTTGCTGCTTAAATCTGCTGAAATGCAGGGATGTGATTCGTAAATGTGTCCGTCCGTGTGTGTGTGCGTGCTGACAAGCAGATGAGCACAGGAGCCTACCACAGCATTTCCTTATGCCGTGACGATTTTGAGGGTTAACCGTGAAGTTGTTTGTTTGCGTGTGTGCTTTTCCACGTGCTTCATGCTGTCATGCAGATCAGCACAGGGGCGTACCACACCGTTGCCTTATGCCGTGATGGCACCTGCATAGGGTTTGGGGACAACGAGCAGGGACAGCTGGAGCTGCACTGATGCTGATCCGCTCCGAACGGTGATTTGCTCTGATTGTGATCTGCTCTGATTGTAATCTGCTCTGTACTGAAGCTGAGCTGCACTCAAGTTGAGCTGCACTCAAGCTGAGCTGCACTCAAGCTGAGCTGCACTCAAGCTGAGCTGCACTCAAGCTGAGCTGCACTCAAGCTGAGCTGCACTCAAGCTGAGCTGCACTCAAGCTGAGCTGCACTCAAGCTGAGCTGCACTCAAGCCACCTCTATCGAGACAAGCATGAGTGTACCCAAATGTCTTGAGCAACAAACTGCAATCTGGTATTGCATACCGGTTACCAACAAGCAGTTGGGAAAACCCCAGCGGCACACTTAGACCCATCACCACCACCCTCCACCACTTGATCCTCTGCCACTTGATCCTCCACCACTTGATCCTCCACCACTTACAGTAGACCCTCCCCTCCACCCTCCACTTTCCACCCTCCAACACTTAGTCCCAGGGGAAAACCCCAAAGGTGTGTAGGAGGTGGTTGGGGAGGGGAAGTTGTAGTTGGTGGTTTAGAGTTCGTTGGAACCTTCTGCTCAACAAGTGCGCAGGTATCTTTGGTTTAATGTAAATTTTTGAAAGTGAAACACTTTCTAAAATTGTGTATTGTGAATAGCGAAGCGAATTGTACCGAAGCAAAGGCTTCGGCGAACCACTACTTCCCCTCTTTTTGGTACAAAAGAGGGGGCGAAGGCCATTTGGCCTTCACCCACGTTTTTCATTTCAAACTTTCAAGTTCAAGTTTCGAGATTTCTCGTCCAAGCTGGCGAGGGTCAAGTCTCTCCCTCGCTTCACTTCTCCGTCAACGCTCCTCTCCGACATCCTCGAGCGGAACTTATCGACGCTGGCGCTGACCAACAATAATACACCCGGGGCTAAGGACTCTCCCGCTCGTCAGTCGACGGGGCTTGAAAAATCGCCTCGGGAAACAAGCGCAGAGAAAAGGAAACGCCCCGCCGAGAATCACGCCGAAGGCACCCACACGGGGGTCGACGTGCTGCTCGGCGAGGGCGGAACAGTCGCGCGACCGTCTCAGCCACGCGCGAGCCACACGCAGGCTCGAGGGCCTGCAGGCGGCAACAATGATGGCGACTTCGTCGCCACCCCTTGCTGCCGCCGCCGCAGATCCGAGCGGATCTCGCGCGCCCCCCAAGCGCAGGGCGACAGATTCTGCTGCGTCAGACGGGGCGGCAACGAATCTCTCGCCCTCTCAACTTGCGGCACTGCTGGCGCTTCTTCAAAAGCAGGCCGCGGCCCCTGCTGTAACGACGCCTACAGCTACAATCGAAGCGGAGATTTCCGCATCCGCTAAAACTGCAAATGTGCGCAACAACATCTCTACATCCGCTCGTGTTGCCGCTCCCACCCGCGCCGACAAAGGAAAGGCGCCTGCTGTCGAAGAAGCCGGCCGCCCCTGTCGACATCGATTCCGACTCTGACAGCGACGAGGGTGAGGAGCCAAATAATCCTTCTCCGCATTTATCTAACGATCTCCTTCCCCCTCTCCCCTCTCCTCATCCTTCGACCGCGGCCGCCGCCTTCAACCGCAAGGGCGTTCGTGACCAGGCGGAAGTATTCGAAGCGCTCCAGACTTACCTCGCGCACTTGGAGCACAAAATCCGCGGTGGGGACGCGACCGGCGCACTCAAAACCGTTGCCCAAGCTCAAGATCTCATCAAGCGCCGCTTCGACGTGTTGGTCGTCGCCGACCACGCGGGCTTCGACGTGGCTGAACGCTACCAGCTGCTGAAGACTACATCGGTGCTGACGTCGCGCTCCTTCAAAATGGCGGTGGCGGATATGGCAGCGCTCAAGCGCATGAAGACCGGATTCCCCCGCGGGAACCGTTCTTTCTCTCGTGAGCCCGCCGCGTTCATGCCGAAGAGCATGGGAGGAGGAAGTGGCTGCCGGGGCTTCAAAGGCACCTGCTTCCGCTGTGGCCAGCACGGCCACATGGCAAGCGCGTGCCCCCATGGAGGCCATGGGGGCAATGGGCCCGCACCGGTGGTGTGAGCGAAGCCCGAACATCCCTTGCGACCCCTCCTCTCATTGCCCCAAGGCGCCCCACGCCTTGTGCCTTGGAAAGGAGTTGTGGAAGGGCGGGGCAGGACCAGGGGGTCCTTGAGTGGCTGTTTAGCCGAGGCTAGATGCAAGGATTGCTCTAGGCCATAAAAAAAAAAAAAAAAAAAAAAAAAAAATGTGTGTGTGTGTGTGTGCGTGTGCACGTGTGTGGCCCGGGTGGCCGTGAAATTGTAATGCTATATTGGAAGTGTGATCCAGGCCGCTGGCCCCTATAGTGCATTGTCCCTATCCAAGCCATGTCATGGCAAAAAAAAAAAAAAAAAAAAAAAAAAAGAGGGAAGGGATTCAAGAACACATGTTTTCACCAACAACCATTGAGGCAAAGCACCGATGGTGCGAGAATCATTAAACCACGCCTCGAGATAGGAGGACATGTCAAACATATGTATATATATGTTATAGTTTGGGTAGGCTTAGTGGGGTACGCACCGTGGGGTACAACCCCTTAGGTTTCTTCTTTGTACCAACCTTCTCGATAGTCGACACCACTTTTTGCCTACGATTCTAACATGGTATAGAGCATAGGTCCTTAGGACCTAGGATTAGGGCCCACCACGCTTGCCTGCCTTGTCTAGTGCCTACGCGCGCCTCGGCTGCCCGCGCGCGCCTCGGGCGGTCCTTTTTTTTTTTTTTTCCCACGTGCGCCGCTTCAGCAGCCCGCGCAGCCCGTTTCGGCCCCACCTGTGCGCCCCTTAAGCCGCCTGCGCGCAACCTGGTTAGGCCACGCCAGCGCGGCCCGTTGCCCAGCGCAGCCCGCAGCTTAGCGCCCAGCCCGCAGCCGCGCACGTGCGGCCCGTCGCCCAGCGCAGCCCGCAGCCGCACGCAGCTTGCAGCCGCGCACGCTGCCTGTCGCCACGCGCAGCCTGCAACTGCAAGCAGCCCGCAGCCCGCGCATTCCGTCGCCGCACGCAGCCTGCGGCCGCGCGCGCTGCCCGTAGCCACGCGCAGCCTGCAGCCTCGTGCAGCAAGCCGCCACACGCAGCCAGCAGCCTCACGCAGCCCTCAGGCCGCTCCTTCTTGCTGCCTGCTGCCTGCCTGCTGCCTGCCTGCTGCCTGCCTGCTGCCTGCCTGCTGCTTGCTGCCTGCTGCCGCCTGCCTGCTTGCTGCCTGCTGCCGCCTGCTTGCCGCCTGCCTGCTTGCTGCCTGCTGCCGCCTGCCTGCAGCCTGCCTGCTGCCTGCCTGCTGCCTGCCTGCTGCTTGCTGCCTGCTGCCGCTTGCCTGCCGCCTGCCTGCCTGCCTGCTTGCTGCCTGCTGCCGCCTGCCTGCAGCCTGCCTGCTGCCTGCCTGCTGCCTACCTGCTGCTTGCTGCCTGCTGCCGCCTGCCTGCTTGCTGCCTGCTGCCGCCTGCCTGCCGCCTGCCTGCCTGCCTGCTTGTTGCCTGCTGCCGCCTGCCTGCAGCCTGCCTGCTGCCTGCCTGCTACTTGCTGCCTGCTGCCTGCCTGCTGCTTGCTGCCTGCTGCCGCCTGCCTGCTTGCTGCCTGCTGCCGCCTGCCTGCCGCCTGCCTGCCTGCCTGCTTGCTGCCTGCTGCCGCCTGCCTGCAGCCTGCCTGCTGCCTGCCTGCTGCCTGCCTGCTACTTGCTGCCTGCTGCCGCCTGCCTGCTTGCTGCCTGCTGCCGCCTGCCTGCCACCTGCCTCCTACCTGGTGCCTGCTGCCTCTGCCTGCTGCCTGCTGCCTGCTGTCTGCTGCCTCCTGCCTTAAGCCAATATGGCGACGCCCAACGTTCTAGCGTTCGAGCCTGACGGTCGTCCCATCGAGTTCACTGTGTGGTTAGACGATCTCCAGTTGTTCCTTCTGACTGATGCCAAAGAGGGCGTTTCCCTGTTTGATTACGTCTCTGGCACTGCCGTTACTCCTGCTGCTGATGCTCCTGCTCTAGAACGCTCCCAGTGGCAGACTCGTGATGCTGCTGCACGCCTAGCTATTAGGAACCACCTGCCGATTACTGAGCGAGCGCATTTCAGCCAGCACAGAACTGCTAAGACACTGTACGACGCTGTAGTTGTGCGCTACTCCTCCCCGGCCACTGCAGTCATAGGTCGACTCATGCTACCGTACCTGTTCCCCGATCTTTCCTCGTTCACCACTGCTGAGGACCTAGTTTCTCACCTGCGCGCTATTGACTCTCGCTTTCGTGCCGCCCTTTCAGCCGAGTTCTGCACCGCAAACCCCCCCCCCCCCCCCCCCCCCCCCCCCCCCCCGATGTAATTCACTCTCTATTTCCTCGTCACCCGCCTCCCTGACACTCTTAGCTCTGTCAGGGACCACTTCCTAGCGCTAGACCCCACCACTCTCACTGTCGACGACTTCGAGAAGCACCTCCTCGCAGCAGAGAAGAACATCCTCGCTGTAGGTGCTGCTCGTGGCACTCCTCGCTCTCCCCTCTTTGAGGGGTGCTCCCCCTCCCCTCTCACCCCCTCCTATGCCTCCGCATCTGCTGCTCACGACTACCTTGGTGCTGAGGGGGTCAGAGCTGCTTCCGCTCCTAGTGGGAAGCGTCGCAGCGGCAGGGGCGGCAGGGGTGGCAGGGGCGGTGGGGGTGGCGGTGGAGG